CTAACAACACTTTGTATTTATCAAATTTATAAATTCTTTCCTATCAATCAATAATTCAATAAAATTATGATATTATCTAAATTAAACACTTATATAGAAATAAATCCCATTACACCACATATATAGAATATAAAATAGTAGTATACACAAAAATAAGTAAAATAAAAATAGAATGTCGTCATGTACCATTGGAGAAGATTTTTCTCCAAAAATGGTGTTTAGAGTAAGGTTGGAGATAGATTAGTCCACAGTGGTGTATAGTCTTAGTCGTTCATACAAAATTATATCTCAACAAAATTTATATTAAAGTGGAAATTTTTGTTTACTTGTAACCAAGTGAACGTCACCTAACCGGAAAATGAATTTTCTTGATAAAAATTTTGCCTCTAATGTGCAATTATGATACCAGTCAAACTATTATACTTCTCTACATTTTTCAGGAAAACTGAGTGGTTGCAACTTGCAACATAAATATACTGTGTGGATACTTCAAGTAAAATACCTGCAAACGTCTCGGTTGTTTCAAACGCAAAATTTGCATTCATGTTTTATATGTGAAAATCAAAGTTCAAACAAAAAAAAAGGTTCAAATTTCAGTTGGTATTGTGTCTTGAATATAGAAGGAACCAAATCCCAAGTAAACCGACTTCAGATTCTAAATTGACTATTCGGTTTACATTGGTTTGGGTTTTGGAAAAGTAGATTTGGCTATTTAGGCTTCACTTTTGTACATGTTACAGTATGATACAAGTCACTGAAATAAATAAAATTTGCCTTTACTACTTCACCACAATTCACAAAACACAAATTATATTAAAAACTAAACTGAAAGTTTAAATTAACCAATAGCTAAAGAAAACCCACACATAGATGTCAAGATGGAACCTTAGCTTTTTTACCTTCAATACTAGCTTACTATTTCACTATGCTTCTTAACTTCTACCTTTTACTATCATATAACTTCATATTTACTTCCTGGAACTTGTGACTCTTTTAGTTGTCACACCTCAAAGT